ATTCGTATGTGTGATCATTTTTATGCATCATTATACTTAAAACACATATAACTTTAAAAGGATGCTACTTTTAAATGTAGTATTTCAAGTACAGAGGATTTCAATTGCATCAAAATCAGTGACATCTTTTTCTCCCTAAGGAACTTTGAGTTTCAAATAACTTTCACAGTTCAGATCCCGGTGCCCCCTCCAATATAAAATAATAATAATAATAATAAATCAAATAACTTTCAGATGAAGTGTTACTTAATCTCTCTCATTTAATACAATTGCATCTTTAGAATAATTCACTCAAGACTAAAAGCTACCAGATTTTGTAAAGAAACATTCCCTATTTTATATGTAACCATTGTAGTTCAGTAGAAGTATAATTAAAGAGAATATAGGTAGTCATGCATTACTTAATGAGAGTGGTACATTCTGAGGAATGTCATTAGGCAATTTCATAATTGTGTGACTCTCAAAGGGTGCACTTACACAAACCTAGATGATACAGTTTCTACACAGTGAGGCTATCTGTTGTAACTGCTCCTAGGCTGCAGCCCAGTAAGACATGGTACTCTACTGCGATAGGCAACAGTAATACAATGCTAAGTAGTGGACAACCTAAGCGTATCCAAAGATAGAAAGAGGACACTAAAACTAATAGGTTATAGGAACTTCATGTAAACTTAGGGGATAAATGCAGCACATGGATGCACATGATATTAAGAGGGATGATTTATTATTGAATATAAACTATGGGGAAAATATTCCATAAAGTACAATTGATAACCCAATATCACTCAAAGTATTTAGAAGTTCAGAAGTCATTAAAATATTTTAAATGTGCAATTGCCTTTTAAAAATGTTTACTTGAAAGACACTATTACAGAGAGAAATCCTCCCATTTGCTGGCTCACCCTCCACATGTCCACAATAGCCAGCATTTGTCAAGGCTAATGGTGGAACCTGGAGACCATTCAAGCCTGCTATGCTGGTGGCAACAGCCCAAGCACTTGGGCTTCCCTGATACGTGAGCAGAGAGACGAATTAGAAGTGGATCAGCCAAGATTGGAACCGGTGCTCTTATGTGTACTGCCAGTAAATGCTTAACATATTACCCCATAATGCCGGCCCCCCAAATGTGTAGTAATCTTAAATCATTATGAAAATTAAATAACTGACTTTTAAATGGAGAACTTCACAGAATGAAGATTTTAAAAAGTCTTCAAATTTATTGATGTGTGTTCAAAATCAATATTTGATAATCTGAAAATGCGTAATTTAGCAGAATATGTTATACAAAGTTCACAAGTTTAATCTTCAGTTTATTTGGATCTTTTTGTATGAAAATATTCTATGATGAAACAATACAAAAAGAATTATTCCTATACGGTGGATGACACATAATTCATCAACATAGTTTGCATGAAACAATTAGTCTGCTTTGTAGCTGTTATTCCTAGGCACTTTACGAATCAACAGGTATTAGCACTACATAATCATTTATAGAATAATAGACTAATAACTGCACAGTTTATAGAAAGCAGTAAAAATTCTGCCCTTTGATTTTCTATCTAGATTACATCAGACAGCTACTTGGCTAAACAAGGTATTTGTTTCCAAAAGTACAGATGGATAACAAGTGTCTCTATTTGAATATACCATGTCAGAATTGCAGTTAATCTTGTCATTAAAATAAAGGGCCATTAGTGTGTTCCGGACACAGGGTCACTCAAGCCACCATGAAATCACCTATCAAAAAGTACTTTTAAGTGACATTAATTTTTCTGAATTTCTGTTTACAACCTAATTTTCTATATAAGTTTTACATTTCAAAACTTTAATATCAAAGTGCATCTAAATAACTTATCTTTCCGCTAAGATTAATTTGGGGAGAAAATGAGAAAATATTTTTTTGAAACCATCACATCTTAGACCTTGGTCATCTATTTGTCTCTGTTTCCCAAATAAAAGAAATTAAAATGAAAAAATAACAATGTAAGAAACTCCTGAGAATAATGAAACATGATTCAACTACCAGTTGTAACACATTTCTCATGTTACATTGTACCACATTTCAGAGTTGTCTAGTGACCATGAACTTGCTAACCTATTAGTTCTAATATGGTTCCCATCCAATACTAATAAACAGTGTGTAATGTGAAAGTCAATCTAGTTTGCTTAACTGTGGGTTCTAGACTTTAAAACATGGAGTGAATTTTAAGAGTTAAAGTGTCTTCTGTCCACTGAGACCCAATTATAACCCTTTTAAAATAATGTTTACTTAGTGTCATAAAATTTCTACACAACTAAAATTAATACAATAAAATCAACATTTTCTACCACAACTTAATTCTTTATCTGTACATATCCCATAGGTTATATATTTTAAGAAGTAAAATATTTTGTGAATATAATGGGTGCCTTTCCTGTGATAGGTCAGTATTGTCTCAAAGTTTTGTTTTTTATTTTATTAATTTATTACAGAATGTAACAATTTTCAAATTAATTTTGCTCATATTTTGAAAAGAATTTCATGTAGCAGTATTTGGAAATTTTCCGTGATCATCCAGAGCTTTAAAAACCTTATTTTGTGAATGAGAAGAAACAGTTATATATTATCGATCTGCATTTACAAAGCGTGCAGTATTTTCTAAGAGAATTCTTCAAGTATATCAGAGATTAAGCCAGGAATGTATGATGTGGTAATTAAATTGTAGCTCTTGTGTTCAAACTCTAATTTCACTCATTCGGTGCAGTGTAATTTTAAGAAAAATTTTTAACCTCTCTGAAGCCTGATTTTCTCATTCAGAGCAATTGTATATTTTTTAAAGATTTATTTACTTTGGGCCTGGTGTGATAGCCTAGTGGTTAAAGTGCTAGCCATGCACGTGCCGGGATCCCATATGGGCGCCGATTCTAATCCCAACAGCCTCGCTTCCCAACCAGCTCCCTGCCTGTGGCCTGGGAAAGCAGCTGAGGATGCTTCAGATTGGCTCAGCTCCAGGCGTTGCGGCAGCTTGGGGAGTGAACCATTGGACGGAAGATCTTCCTCTCTGTCTCTCTCTGTATATCTGCCTTTTCAATAAAAACAAAACAAAACAAAAAAACCAAAACTTTCAAAAAAAGATTTATTTATTTTTATTGGAAAGTGAGATATGCAGAGAAAAGGAAAGACAGACAGGAAAATCTTCAGTATGTTCATTAACCACCCCAAGTGCCTACAACGGCCAGTGCTGAAGTGATTTGAAGCCAGGGGCCATGAGGGTCTCCCACATGGGTGCAGGGTCCCAAGGCTTTGGGCCATCCTCCACTGCTTTCCCAGGCCACAAGCAGGGAGCTGGATAAGAAGTAGGACCACTGAGATTAGAACCGGTGCCCATATGGGATCCCGGGTGTGTTTAAGGCAATGACTTTAGCCACTAAGCTACCATGCCAGGCCCACAAAAATATATGTTTCATAAAATTATTGTAAATATTTAATGAGATTTGAGAATCACCATCATCTAACTTCTGAGCTAATGGACTCCTTTCTCTATTACAAAAGCAAGAAGTTATCTCAGTTTCTGTTCTTTTTTTCTTGTTTTATCTGGTGGTGGAAAGTTGGAAGAATGACTGGTAGCAATTAAAAATGGCACTGCTAGGTTATATTTAGAAATTAATGTTACTTTAATCTTTTAATCTCACCTACTATCATCAGTTTATGTCCTGTGTGTCTTGGTGTGTGATGAACCTCAGCTAAACCTTTCCTGATTGATTGCTGTTGAATCAGGAAATAAACCCTTCATAGAATTCTCATCAGATTGAGTGAGGAAGGCCCCATCACGGGACATGGTGGAATATTCTAGGCAATAAAGAATTGCCATTTATTGGCAAAGTGACAAGACATGAACTTTCTGAGTGTTGATTATCATTCCAACCTCAGTTTACAAATACCAGGGGTAATGGTGCTCACGAACTCTTATTGTGGCAACTTTGGACTCTAGGTCACGGCATGACCAACGTTACATGTGGGTGTTCTCATTCTTTTGTTTTTCACTTACCTTCTGACATGCTTTTTTCATGGCTGTTACCATGAATAACGTAAAAATCACTTTATACATATGTATATGTATCTAAATGTCACTATCCCAATTGTTTTAGTGATATGTCAACATTTGACTGAACCTTGCATTTTGAAATAGCATATTGCTCTCCTGGCAACTTAGATGTAAAGTGACATAATTAAAGTGAAAAACCATTTCACATTTTTCACATGATTCAACGTTTCTTTGACAATGGAGCAAAGCCAAAAGAGTCTCTGCAGGAAGCGTCTTTTTTCTTTTATTACTCTAAGGAAAGCAAAACTTGTTATGTAACCTGGGTATCACTGAAATTTGAGCCCTTCAGCCAGGCCACAAGCTCATGGCGGAAGTAGGCCAACGACCACTTCTCTTTGCCTACATGGTACTCTTACGGAAACGTTAGGCAGTCATTTTCCACAACCTAAAAAGGGCAAAGAAATTTGAAAGTAAAACATTTGATATGGGCATGACAATTCAACAGAAACTTTTGGCTAAATTTTAGCATTCTAAAAAGTTTCAATATATGGAAGACCACAGAGAAGTTACTCAGATTTTCTAAACTCAACGTTGGTTCTCTACATATATGAAGTAATGAGTGACTATGAAATACAAAGACTTGAGGCTAAGGTGAAGCCACCACCTGCAACCATCCCCGGTAAGGCACCGGAGGAGCAGAAGATAGTACTTAGCCCTCTCATCCACTTCGGAGATCCAGGTGGAGTTTAGGATCCTGGCTTCAGCCTAGGTCATCCCCGGCCATCGTAGTCATTTGGGGGAGTGAATCAGAAGATGATCTGTCCCTCTTTCTCTCTGTAAGTATATATAGATATATATCTATAGATATCTATATAATAGATATATATCTATTATATATATGTGTGTATATATAGATATCTATATATATATATAGATAGATAGATAGATAGATATAGATAGATATACACACACATATATAATGGGAAATCAAGGAATTTATGTAGTTACATAAAGTGTATTGACATATATATATGTAATGGGAAATCAAGAAAAGAATGTAACGCAGGCTCCTTGTGTCCAAAAAAAGCACCACTCAGATTTTTCCAATGATTAGTAAAACAAATTTCTACAAATGCAATCACAGTGCATGAAATTCACACTTTGCAAATGTTTTAGGCAAAATAAACATTATGCTGAGCTATGTAGTTTAAAGAGTCTTATTGTGGCCCAAAAAGTTGCAAACTATTACAGCAGAAAATTGACATTAATAGAATCAATAAGACAACGTGTAAGGTAAAAATTTAATTAAAAACACCAAGCTTTTGTCCTGTTTTTTAACATTTTTGAAGATATAAAAACACCATAAAGATACAGTATAAAGGGTTATTGACAGAAAAACGGTTTAAATCCATATACCACCTTTTCACCAAAGTTAGTAATTACGGCTTCAGATTATTAGCCTAAAGAAAATGATTTCACTGATGTGTCCGTTTGTGTTATTATTTGCCATTACCATTTAAACATCCTGTCTTTACAGAGAAAAATTCATCTATGAAGTAATTAGATGAACTTCATCAACTAGAACACTACTGTACACTAGTACACTGGGGAACTTTCCATCACATCTACAATTTTTGCCCTAGAGAAGCCTACTGGCAAGTTACGGAACATAATTTTTTATATATATAAAAAAATTTAGCCCCATTTTGTATTTTATCAGCCTTTTGCAGTTATGTTATTTTATTTATTTTTGTTTATAAAGTTTCCAAACTTTTGCATAAATCCTCGGAACTTGTTTTCATTTGGTTGATATGAGTGGTATACACCAGAGCCGTAATTAAGCATTGGGCTGGATCTGCCATAACTGTTGCCCAAATTTGTGGATTTTATTTCTGCACGATTTACTGTGGGACTGGGCATGTTGCTTGCTGGCTGTATAGCGCTCTCAATCTTACAAAAAGGCTCAAAGCGACTATAAACCCGCCTGTCCGTTGAATGAGTCCTTAAGATCTCACGGGGCTTTGGTCTTGGAGAAGGAGTTGCCCTCCTTTCAGGAACAGCAACGGCATGAATCTCCTTTGAATCTCGGTATTGGATCTGTTCTGTGTTGAATCTTGGGGCCGAGGCATCCCCTGCCCTTTCTAAGAACTTCCTCTCAGCTGGAACTGGAGAAGGGGTTATTTTATTATTTTCATCGGATGGAGAATGTGTTCCCGGAGAGGAACTAATTCTTAGATCTTCCTTGCTTTTGTGAAGGCTTCCTTGAGAATTGGATGAGGAGGAGCGCTTTCTTCTAGGAGATGAATCAACTTTGTGTTCTGATTTCTTTGGTTTTTGATTTTCTTCACCCTCTGAAACTAATGTGTCAGAACTACTGCACATTCTGTAAAAGGCAGGTGCTTTATTTTTCGAGAGAGTCTCTTTTTTTTCTGGTGTAAGGCTAAGCAAGGACCTCAGTTTCTGAGATCCCTTTTTCAGAAAACTTGGGGAACCTTTAACTTCCTTCTTTGGGGTGAGTTCCTTGTTAGGTTCCTCTTTATTCACGTCATGTAAAGCTGCAATAGAAATGGATTTGGTAGCAGTGCCACTTGGAGGATTTCTCCTGAGAGCTTCCTCTTCCTCCTCCACATTGTGGGTCACATTATGCATGCTTTTAGAGCTTTTCAGCAGGTCTTCCTTGGGTTTTTCTGGTTGTCTAACTCGATTCCTGGTGAGTGTGCTATACACATAATGCTTGCTATTCCCATGGCCACTGTTAGCTTTCGAGTGGTCAAAAAATGGGAAACTTCGTCTTTTGAGTAGATTCTCATTTGGTTCATTCTTTTGATTCTCTGTCTGTTTATTGGAGCACAAAGTTGTATATATATAATTATTTGCTTCTGTATGGCCATTTGTGGTTTGCTTTAGTACTGGTGAGTGATTTTCCGGAACGTGCAAGGTGTGCATTTTTGATGCCTCTGACTTTGGTGATAGCTGAGGGACCGGTTCTGGCAGAGGCTTCTCTGTTGAATGCTCTACTCCTGTAGGGGAGCGTGGAACCTCCTTAGGTGTGTCACTTCCCTGGGAACCGATGATCGTTGAATTCGAGGAGCCAGTTGTGCAACTGTTAACTTCCTGTTGCTCAGGCAGAGTTGGTTTAAATACAAAAGAGGACCGAAGCCGAGAATGAGCATAAAGGGCACTGGCTTTCAAATTCTCAGAGTTATCATAGCCCTCAAACCGCTCACCCAGGGCTGATCCGCTGGAATCAGGTGGCGCCTCAGACTGATCATTTAAATAAGATTCAATCCTCCAGTTACGTAGGAATGATTTTGTGGTATGCTCAAGAGTTGGCATCCGTTGCTGCAAAAACCGAATATGATTATCAGTTCCGTTAAAAGATCTTCTCATATTTGAATTTCTTTCTGGAAGATTGGTTTTTCTCTGAGCAAGCCGATCAGCAAAACTTTGAGCAGGTGTGTTATTGTGGCTTGAATAGCCTCCCCGCGACGAGGAGGCCACACTGAGACTATCTGAAGGTCTTTTCCAATTAGCAGGGGGATGATTGGCTCGATTCAGAGTCCTGTTAAGCAGAAGATACGGTGTGGTCTCTGGCTGTTCCCCAGCGTAACTGTGTCTTTTCCAATTTTCATTTAGATGACTGGGTTGAAACTGACGGATTGTATTTGGACCATTAAAGTTTGGAACGAAATGAGGTTTGTATGCTTGATTTCTTATGCTGTATTTGTCAGGTTCATGTAAAACATACTTCCCTCTGTTTTTGAAGTAACTGGAGTCTAGCTTGTGAATTGTGTCTTGTCTACTGAACAGGTTGCGTTGGCTGGAAACAGAAGCTAATGAAGAAACCGAATGCTGGTAATTTCCATTCTCCCAGAGAGATTTGCCATGCTTGACCCTTGCTGCTTCATCCTGAGCAAATGACCTGGGAACACAGGATCTTGCATACAGAGTTCGAAATTCTTCATCAAAAGACTCAACAAGTTGTCCTGTAATTATCTGAACCATACTGAGGTGAGCTTTTTCGAATGACCACATGTAGCTGAAACAAAATGAAAAAAAAGAGAAAAGAATGGATATTTTAAATTTTTCTATGCTGAAAGATTAATGATAAAACACATTTCTGCTTTAAAACATTTCAATTAATATATCCAAACATATCTTTGCTTTTCCTATTATAACTTAATATAATTCCTTTCGTTATGTGCCTATATTCTTGTGTAACTTCATATTTGTATTTTAAACAGTAAATCTCGAATTCGGACTTTGGACCTACTTGCCCTTTCTCCCACTCCTTCTAACAGGTTCAAAGAAATTCTTATGGTGCATTTTGGAACTGCTTACTAAGATTTTACAGAGTAAAAAAACAATAAACAAGATACTATTTTTTCCTACAGATCGTCCTGGCAAGGACTACAAGTCAGTCTTAGAGGACATGTTAAGAGGACAAGTTAAGAGTTTGGCTGTAGTCTCAGAAGTTTTAGCTTCATATTCCTCATATCGCAAATGAAGAGCTGATCGGCAGAATAGTTGCAAAACCTTATGTTTCTAAATTGTTATAATAAGCTTTCTGTGCCAAATCACATAGTTTAGGCAACTAAACCTTTGGGTTGCTATCTCTGTGGTTTACTCAATAAATGTAATTTAGCATGTCAAAAGTGATAAACAAAGGTTGCCTCAATCACTAACAGGTGGATTTCACTGTACTTAATGTACAAAGGATAAATAAATATAGTTCTCGTAATCCAAGTTAATCAAAATGCCAATAAGCTTGTTTTAACATTGGATACGTATCTAGAAATCGAAGTTATCAAGTTTAGCGATGAAAGCTATCTTGGAATTTGATATTAAATTTGAAACTCATTTTTGAAAATGTGATGGAACAAGAAACTAAAAAGACAAGCTCCTTACTAATATGCTATCCAGATAATCATATGAATAACAATGAGGATAAATACAGAAGAGAAAGGAGACATGATCTCCTCATAAAAATACTTTCCTATTTACACAGAGAATATGGCAAATGAAGATTAAAAAGATTAAAACATCAGAAGATAATATTTTAAAACACATAAAATATAAACACTGCCTGCATTCCATATGGAAATGCTAGTTCTAGTATCTGTCATTCTGCTTCTAATTCTGTCCCCTGTTAATACAATGAAAAAGCATTCACTGATGGCTCAAGAACTTTAGTTCATGGAACGCAAGTTGGATACCCAGATGGAGTTCCTCGCCCTGCCTCTGGCTTGACCTACAGCTGCTTCACTCATTTGGAGAGTGAACCAGTGGATGGAAGATTACTGTTTCTGTCCCTCTTCCTGTCACTCTGCTTTTCAAATAAATAGTCTAAAAACAAGAGTGCACAACTTCAGAGTATTATTGTTTGGAAACATTCAACTTTATCTAATATGTCTAATGAATGCATAACACAGAACAATATCTATTAGGCTTTTTTATGTGTGAACCCAAATGTGCCCCTAGCCTGACATAAAAGATATGCAGCACAAGTGAGTAAGTAAGAACATTTCCAAATTATCTAAGATACAGATACAAAATATGCGAGAAGCAGCAAGTAGTGGAAAAGGTAGCCAGCTGGCAAGTGTTTGCCAAACCACAGAGACAGTGATGGTTTAGTGATATTTTGACTTAGGTTACGTATTCAGAAGTTCACAAATGAAAGATGTCAGAGGACAATGTATGTGGAAAAAAAAGCGAATGGAAAAGGGAAGTAACCAATAGTGGCTAAGATTTGGTTGAACATAGAAACAGGTTCCATTTCCCCTAGTAAAGAAGTTATATATGAGATTTATGAATTAATGCAGAAAATACTGCATGCAAATCAGAAAGTTTGTGTAGGATTTGTTTACATGTTTTGCTAACTTACACTAGAAAGAGGTGTTTGAGGAATTAATTTCCCTAACAGATATTCATTAGATGTGAAAGGGGTGACCGGATTCCCAATGAAGAATTATCTAGAGATAATCTGGATATGAGTGAAACTCTGGGAAATGAGTGAAAATGTTGGTTCAGCAGCAAGAGAAAATTAGATAATTCATTCAGAAAGACCATTCACAGTTTATGAAATAAAAATAATTCTCCACATTTTGAATTTTGAAAACTCATAAGATATTGAGACTGGTAAATCTGTAACAATTAGAAAGAGTACCCTGCTTTGGTAAATCAGAATATCATAATTTCAGGTGACAAGAAGACATCAAGTGAAAACATTCAAGAAGAAAAATGTAAAAAAATTGGAGCCATGCCTCTAGACTTAGAGACAAATAATTGTATTCTCTACCATTCCACATGAAATGAATCATCTATAGCCCAATAACCTATATCTGTATGGTCAGTGCTGACCTTTTCTATATTTTGTATTTTTGGAATCAATTCCAATTTTTATTTGGGATTTAAATTATCTCACAAAATCAACACATATAAGACTTCCTCCAACACTCCTCTCCCTCAAACTATCTCTTTCCTAGTTTTACCTAGGAAATGTTTGTGTCATAGACTAACCACATTTTTTGATGACCAGTAATGAGAAATAGTAAGTCTCCTTCAAATGCTCTTTTTCTTGTAACTGACAGGTCCTGTTGACTCAGATTCCAAACCCTCTTCCAAATGTCTCCCACTCTTTTATCACTTTATCCTGAGACGTCATGGACTTTGACTTCTAGTCTTCCTATGTACTCGTTTTTTAATCAACAGTAAATAGCAGCAGTACAGTCTTTCCAAACATTCATCTTGGGGATGTTTTATCATGTTTTACTACACAGTCCGATTCTTACCACATCCCTTATTACTATCAAATATTCCCTTTTTTGGTTTCCTTTTATTAATCATGTTTCCTCTGCCTGCTAAAATAAAAATTCTTTCACCTCAGTATTCTTGTGGATCTTTTTTATGCCTCTCTAGATAGGAGCTGAGAATGGTTCTTTGCATAGAGACAGTAATGCTATAGGCGATTGCAAAGAGCAACAGGAGAAAAATCCTTCCTAAACCATAATGCAATCAACATTCTGGCTTGCCTAAAGTGCTCTACAAGGAAGTAGCATCAGTCTTCGCTGGCTGAGTGGTGACAAGACTGGCATCAGTGTTTGGAAGCCACTGAAAACAGATGTTTAGTATTTTGCAGCTCTATCGCCACAGACTTACTCCAAGGGAGCAATAAAGGAAAATATTTGCAAAGTCCTACCATTGAGCTGACTGGTTTTCCCCTGAATGAGGACAATATGCACAGACTGTGAGAGATGACTGTTTTCGTAATGCTCGATTCTTGCCAAAATTACAAAGTTTATATGGAAACAGTAAAAGTATACACAATACAATTAACAAAATAAATCCAGAAACTGAAGTAAAAAAAAAATCAAACTGAACCCAGTCTCTTGCCTATTTCCCAAGGTAATGCTCCCCATCCTTTATCAAAAGGGATTACTGACTTGAGGAAGTTATGCAGCGGGCACTACAAGGTTCTAATCATTGGACTTAAGGAGTTCTTCCTTCTCCAACAAATGACAAATCTGAAGGCCAATATTTTCTTGGAGTGTTTGTTCAGAGGAATTCCAGCTTTGGACACAATGTAACTGCCATCTTCAGGTAAACCAACATCCACCTGGCCATCATAAACTCCCAAACCAGCACAGCATCACTGACCAACGAGGAACACAAATGAAGGCAATGAGAGAAAAGGTGGCACAAATGAGTTACAGGACACAAAGTAATAACATACCAATAGTAAGTCCTTTCTTAAAGGTAACTACCTTAAAGGAAATGACATCAAATTCCAATAAGTCAAGATACTTACAGACTGAATACACCATAAACAAGATCTAAGTGTCTGCTCTTTTCCAAGACTTACTTTAGATCTAAGTGAGCACACAGGTTGAAAAGAAAGGATGGAAAAAATGTATGTCAAGTAAATAGCAACCAAAAGAGTTTTTTTCTACAAAGTTGTGAGATAAAATACACTTTAAAGTAAAAGCCATCACGAAAGATGAAAAAAAAATTATATGAGACTACATCGAAATTTTGTGGAAAATAAATTTGACTTGAAAAATATTTGGAATACATAAATAATTTTTCATGACCTTTTTGAGGGCCCTTGTAAGCATGGATTTCAAAATCTCTGGTAGTAAATATAAGTCAATATTTCAAGTACTTCTTACATACTAACATGTAATGATAAAAATACTGATTTACCAAAAAGGTATAACAATTATGAATATTTATATATTGAATCTCATTGCTTCTAATTACAGGAAGACATAGTTTAACAGAATTTAAAGGATAAACAAATACCAGCACCATATTAGTAAGAAATATCAATAGTCTTTCATTGATGGCATTGATGGCTAGATCAATGAAAGAGAACATTAATATACATTGAGCAAGTTGAACAAGACCCTAGACCAGGAAGAATTAACAAACACAAGCGAAACACTGCATGAATGCACAACATACATTTTTTTTTCAGTGCACTTGAAACATGTTCCTGATAGCCCCAAAACCAAATATTAACAAACTGAGGAAGATCTAAGCTATGCAAAGTATCTTTCCTAATCACAGTGGATTAAAACTGAAAATCAGTAATAGAAGTAAAATTACAAATTCTTCAGATATATGGAAATTTGAAACAACAATACAAGTATCAAAGAAGAAATGAGGGAAATAAGAAAATTCTTTGAGACAATTTAAAATGGAAAACATACCATATTTTATGGATGCTCTGAAAATTATGCTACAAATTATTTTGATACAAGTAAATGTATACATTAAAAAGTCAAAACTTCTCAAAACAGTAATCTAAGGGTACCTACGCCTCAACAAGCTGGACAATGAAAAACCAACTGATAGGAAAGAGGTGAACAATCTTAGCTTTAGGAAAGAAGAAATGATTACACACAGAAGTGAATAATTATTGCCCTTTCTCAACAATGATTTTTATGAGAAGGCAGCACTTTCCAAGGACACAGGGGAAATAACTCAGCTAGGAAGTCCATAGTGAATTAAACTACAAGTCATCAAAGATTGCAAAATTTAAGCCTAATGAACGCTTAAGCAAACCTGGGAGAAAAACTGAGCCCTGGAAACAGAAACAAGGAAACAGAAAATTTAGGAAACAATGAGTCAAAACACCCAGGAATATGGGACGTTCTAGGACCCTTTCTGTGCTCCCAATTTTAGGACTTGCTAACCCAGATGGTATATCACAGATTTCTGTTGATAACTAGACATTTGGGAAAGTCATTCATGTACTTCAAAGTCATTTTGATCAGCTAGAAAAAAACAACAGTAAGTAAGTAGAAAACAATGCCATTGAGATAAAAAGAAAAGGTAAAATGGCCACTTTTATCTTTGTTTACAGAAGTAAATATTATAAATCACTCTGTAGTTCAAAGAAAAATTCCTGTTGCTTCAATAATATAAACCTGACCTTCTCAAACAAAATTGTGATAAATACTCTATTGGAAGCATAAGCCAGGAAGAGTGAGCAGAAATGAATCTGTTGCAAATATAACTTCTCAGTGATGATATGATAAGCCAAAGATAATGTTGGAAACTGGAAAATTGTGAAAGAACCACATAGTCACAATGGAAAAGGACTGGATAACTGATATGGATGTCAGAACAGGAAGATGCAGAATCAGACCTGCTCTTTATGTTGCATATCAAATAATACACGGTTTCAAAAATACTTGCAGAAACTTTGTTGCATAAAAGCAACTTCCTACTGCCACCTTGGCTAAACACTCTTAAAAACATTTGAGTTTCTCAGTGGCTAAGAATTAAACAGTAAAGTGCATGACAGCTAACCGACTAGCTGGGGAGAGTGATTCTCAACTGTGACAATTTGAATGTTTGATCAAAAATGGCACCTGAGAGGAATCAACTTCAGTGACATTCAGTTTTTTCAAGCAATATGTAGGAAGACTGTGTCACATAATGCAATGCAATTAATAATTATAAAAAAAAGACTAAAAATTTTTAAAGGGTTTTGAAATTCTCATCCTTTAATTCATGGGCTATACTTTATAAAATGTCTTCCTACGTTATATGTGCTAATGGCAATGGCAGTCATATTCATAACAATTTTTCGATGAATGAAGGAGTTTGTAGAATTTTTACAACCTCATCAATGTTAGTTTCATGACAGAACTCCTGTTGTGTTTTCGTTAAAAAACCAACACCCTGATGAGAGAGCTCTCACATGTTACTGTGTCCTGAATACAGATTCTAGGCCTCTCTGTGAATGTTGGGACTCGAGAAGTTCCTCTGCCTTTCCCATAAAAATGAATAAATCTTTTTTTGAAAAAGAAGAAGTGTCAGTCTCTGCCCACTACAGTCAGGGTTCTGGGACTCACAATTTAAAGGATTAAAAAAAAAAGAAGAAGAAGAAGTCACTTGCATCTCAGGGCAAACAATTTTGAATTAAAAAAACAACACATGTTTCAAAGCTCCTAAAAGGAAAATGATATAAAAAAAATTACTTGGGTAAGAATTAAAGCTACAGCGAAACAAAATGAAATATATGTTTTACTCAAACAAGTTCATATTGTACCAGGTTTTATTAGAATATTGTTATCAACAGGAACAATCCATGATAATTCACCCTCCCCGCCAGAGACAGCAGTTGACAACCACTGATCATTTCAAGGAATTTGAAATAATAGCGCAAACAGAGTTGCTAGAAAAAAGCTGACACATTTTTAGTATCTGTGTCCTAAAAATTCCATATTCACTTGTACAAATAATAAACTGTTTCTGCTTCTGGTTTATGATAACAGAAAAGGATAGTGTTTTTTTTTGTCTGTTATCTTCTTGCCTCCCAATCAAAATTAGCTCCATCACAGTCATCTGAAAACATAGCACAGGTTATTTGCTTTAGTGGTTAGGACACCCACGTCCTGCACTGACACCTGCTCCTAGCTCCAGCTTCCTGTGAAGCACGGGTGGTGGTCCAACCAACTGCAGTCATGCCACCCACACGCAAGACCTCAACTGAGTTCCTTGCTCCCAGTTCTGATGGACTAAGTCCAGTGTTGAGGGCACTGGGGAAGAGAGTCAGATCATGAGAAGACTCTTCCACTATCTCTCAAATAAATAATTTTTTAAACTAATCTTAAAAACTGGACCTATTGGGTCCAGCACAAGCCTAATGGCTAAAGTCATATCCTTGAACATGCCGGGATCTCATATGGGTGTCGGTTCTAATCCTGGCAGCCCCGCTTCCCTTCCAGCTCCCTGCTTATGCCCTGGGAAATGATTCCAGAATGGCCTAAAGTCTTGGGACCCTGCACCCACGTGGGAGATCCAGAAGAAGCTTCAGGCTCCTGATTTCGAATTGTCTCAGCTCCAGCTGTTGTGACTGCTTGGGGAGTGAACCATTGGATGCCTCTCTTCCTCTCTGTACATCTGCCTTTCCAATAAAAATTAAAAACAATTTTTTTAAAAAAATTGCATCTATTAATACAGAGGTAGCAAAAACTGATTTCAGTGGCATCGCCATATTCATAACAGGTGAACTTACTAATGAGAAGAATCTGAAAAACAAATAGAGTATGAATTATGATGAGTTTAAAAAAGAAACATGATTAAAGTCAAGTTACACAACAATGTGAGGGGAACCTTTGTCTCTTTCCTAATAACTACAATTGTCTGAGAGAAGAGTGCGACACATTGTCTTAGATGTGCTTAAGAAAATTACTCAGTTTGGCTGCATGAGTTTGCTCAGCTGTAGAAATGAGAATAATCATAGAACCTACCTCATGTCATTTTTAGGACTAAATGAGTTCATGCATCTTGTACCCATGATGTCAGCTATTGCATTAGACTTTATTTTAACTGTCATTTTTTGTTCACTTCCTTTTCAAGTTCAGGGAGACTTAAAAGGAAATACTGCTCGGAGTTCCAAATGGAAGCTTTCTAGATATAAAATTACAAATAGTATTTGAAATCAGTGAGTCCTTTTAAAGATTGACTTAACATATTAATCCGAACCACTTGAGTTTAGGGGATTTCTGTATCTTTGTGCTGAAAATGAAGTACATAAGTAGAGAGAGAGAAGAGAGGAAAGAGCCAGGGTGGATATTGTGGCACAGCGGCATAAGATTCTGGCAGCAATGCCCGCATCCCATGCCTGCCATTTTGAGTGCGATCGCTCCATTTACAATTCAGCTCTCTATTAATGCACCTGAGAAAGAAGTAAAATATGGCTCAAGTTCTGGGACCCTCACCCATGAGGGAGACCTGCGTGCAGTCCCTAAATTCCAGCTTCAGCTTGACCCAGGCCTTGTTCCGTGACCTCTGCAGGGTGAACCAGAAGATGGACATATCAATGTCTCTCTAACTCTGCTATACACCCCCCCACATACACTTGTGTGTGTGTGTGTGTGTGTGTGTGTGTGTGTGTGAGTATGAGTCCAACTCTACTAAAGTTAAAACTAATAAATTCATTACATGTTTGACAATGTAAACATATTGGTATTACCTGTAAGAGCCATACATTACTTTCTGGCAGTCAATTAATAAAAATTTCTGTTCCATTTTCCCATGGAATTTCGCTCCTGTTTTTGAAAGATAATCTTGTCCTTTCACTGTCCGCACTCGAATATTCTAGAATGTAAAATATAAGATAAAAATTAACAATAGAGATATTTTGTGAAGTGAATTATATACTAATATAAAACCATAATATCACAAAACTTTATTTGAAATTATGTTTTTTTTGAAAAAAAGACAAGAAAATTCAAAACATCGACCCCAAATAAAGAATGTTGATGAAAATAATCCACTTAAAGTGTATTTAAATATAGCTCAAATAGAATGGTTGCACAGAATGGTCTCACAAGTCACTTAGGATCCTATTAGAAGAAATTCTTTTAGATTATAGCACCCCGATGATAAAATAGCTAAGATCAAGATCTATTTTCCTTTTAAAAAATAAAACAACTGAAAACACTAGGCTAAATGTTTTGAAAAAGCAAAATTGTCCAATCACAGAATCATCTGGATGTGTGGTTTCTAATTTATACATTCAAACCTGGAGCATTACACAGAATGAGTAGCACGGGAGAATTTGGCCTCATGGTTAAGACTTCAGTGGAGATGCTCGCATCCCCTGAGAGAGTGCCTGAGCCGCAGCTCCAGGTCTGCTCCCAATTCCTGCTGATGCGCGCCCAGGGAGGCAGCAGGCAACAGCTCAAATGCTGGCCACCTGCCACCCGCAGGGGACATCTGAATTGAGTTCCTGGTCTCTGGCTTTTTTCAGACATTCAGGACATAAACCAGCAAACGGGAGTCCCACCTGTCTGTTTCTCAAATAAAATCAAATAGCACAACACAAAATAAATGATGATGACTAAGTTAGTTCAAGCTTGAGGGTCCCAATCAAAAATCTTTCATCACAATAAGCTTTGTATATATACTTTTCCTTCTTAAACCTGATTAAGGTGAAAATGGCACACACAATACTAGAGAAAAGAAAAAACAGAATTTTTTTTTATTAATAGAATTTATTTTGACATTCTTTACATAGTTAGTTAGAGTAAGAAGGTTCAAGGGCTACAGGAAAGTGGATAATACTAGTATATGAAAAAACAGAATTCTTACCCTGAGACGCTGTATTTGACATCCCTGTTTCTCAGTCATATTTAAAAAATGACTAAAATTGGACTCATCAAGCAGAATGTATACAGATACCCCACGAGTCGATGCTTCTACTATCTCTTTGAAAATATCCACATCTGTAAATATATCCATTACTAAAGCAATGACCTGTTTAAAAAGAAAAAAAAGATTAAAGCGTTGTTTAACCTCAGTAAATATTAGACATAAGAGAAAAAAATCAACTAAAGACATGAATATATATGCATAAATGTCAATGTTTGCCAGTTTTCTAAGATAAAAGACATAAATATATTGAAAGGGTTAATAGTGTGGCACAGCAAGTTAAACCACTGCCTGTGTGATGCCACATCCTACATGAATGCCAGTTCTTGTCGCAGCTGCTCCCCTTCTGATCCAGCAACCTTCTGGGGTGCTTAGGAGAGCAGTGGAATACACCATCAGTGCTTTGACATGGCCGACCAGAACAGAGTCTCAGAAATCTGACTTCTGTCCAAGAGAAATCAGTCCATTGCAGCCATCGGGGGAGTGAACCAGTGTATGGAAGAACTCGGACTCTCCCTCTATCTGTAAAACTCTGCTTTCAAACAAAATGACCTTATACAGTTTTTTAAAAACAAGTAAGTCCAATGTATAAATTTGTAACACTAGCCAATTTTCAGAATTTGCATTTTATTGGGATTTTCAATAAAGGGCAAAGCTAGATGACAGATAGCAACTTTCTGATCATCAGAGGATACAGGGTAGAAACCAGTGTGACAATATTTCTTGCGAAACCTTCCCATCTAAAAGTGAGATCTCTGCAATTATTTTTAAAGAGTAAAGGTCTTAGATGACTAGGACAGAGGCAAAAAAAAATCTAGAGATTGAAACTTATCTAAGGAACAATGAAAGATGGAGTAAGTGCAAAAGAGAGCTTGAAGAAAATGAAATACACAATCCTATAATTAGATTAGTCGACTGAATCGGCAAAAGAAAGAAACATAAATGAAATGAGAAGACTATATGATTGAAAAGGTGAAACAGGAAAATGTGCTAAGCAAGGGACCTGTTCAGCATGCTAATTATTGGAAACAATAATTAATTATTGTTAATAATTAATTATTTTATATGGCAAAATAACACTAGAAGATAAAGAGGAAAAAAACTTCATATAATGAACACTTAGTAACATACAAGACACAAAACCTGCCTGTGTGAAGCTTACATTCTCCTCTGGAAATAAGCATAATAAAAAAAAATCCTTCCACCACGTAAACCTTTTAAGAAGTTAAGATCTGTAGGATAGAAGAGGAACAGAAGGGAGGCAAAGTGGGAAGTTATCAGTATGCTCGCACAATGGAATATGTGAAATACTAGACATTTGTTCACTTTATAGAAACAAAATAATTTTTAAATAAAATCAAAATAAAATTTAAAATTATCTATAGGAATACCAATGCCAACCATTCTAGTGACATCACACATTCCATTTGTTCTTTAATAAATGGTGTGAGGTGCCTGTCTGAGAGAGAAGCTAGTAATAACTGCATACCTTGACATTTTTCCTCCTAGCATCATATGTGTGGAAAAACATGCATGATTATTAAATGAATGCATGTGCTATGTGTATGTGTTAATGTGTGGTGCAATGACATATGGCTAGTAATACAAAGGAATTAAATTATCCATGATATACTTTTTTTTCATAAAATAGCTCGCAACAATAAGTGTTTCATGCAGTGTGGTATTCGTTTTTAAATCCTAAAAGGATTTTTTCAAAAATAAACATTACACAATATAGTGATACACTCACAGAACAAGTTATGTTGGATGTTGGAGATGAATAAAAACACATTCTCGGGACACATAAAGGTTTTTGTGCGCAAACAGTAACTGAAGTTGCTCAGCCAATGGATGGTTCTCCCATGGCGAAGGTAGTCATTCTTGCATGACTGACAACACACTACAACAGGAATCAGGCTGCTAGATTGAACATCTCTGACAAGCTTGTCTGATGTCAACCAAATGAGACTGCTTTTCATGGCTTCCATTTGCTTGTACCCTCACCCAATTTGCTGGATTTATAAAAATGTACAGAAACTTTTAGCTGGGTCAATAAGGGAAAGTTAAATAAAACTTTTTATTCTTAGTGGACATTTACATATATTTAAGGAAAAAATAATTAGAAAGGATCCACATGAAACTTTAGGTGAAATTTTTACATGCCCAGTTACTTACCTAAATTATATTGTTCTATAGAAACGATAATCACAATGTACAAAGAAAAAATTATATACTGATTAGTATGCAGAGCATGTCAAATGATTGTGCATTAACATAAAAACCAGTTACATTAAGTTGTATTCTGCTGTGATATTACATCTTACTTATATTCTTAAGTCTCTATTATTTTTATATTCTTGCACTTGAAAAATGCAATGCAATTGAAAAAGCCAATACATACATGAACTCATCAGATACTTGAGACACTTAACCAAACAAGAGTTGATGCTGACTTAAAACAGTAGAAATGGCACAGATGGTATTAGGTACATTCACATGCTAGCTAAAATTTAAGAGGGTGGTACTGCAGGTAAAGCCATCGGGTGTGATATCAGCATCACATGATTGGCATTTCATGTACCTGCTGCTCCACTTCTGCTTTTACTCCCTGATGATTTCCTAGAATGGCAGTGGAGGATGCCCTAAGTGTTGGGCCCTTGATCCGTGTATGGTATGGATCAAAGTCCTTCCTTCTGTCTTTTGCCTGGTTCAATCCCAGCTGCTGGAGGCCACCTGGGGAATGAACCAGTGGATGGAAGATGTCTCTCTCTGTTTGTCACTGCTTCTCTCTCCATATGATTCTGACTCTCAAATAATTACATGCATCCTTTACAAAACTATCCAATCTTAGGATACTCAGGAGCATATGATCAAGTGTGAAGTAATCTGCAAAAGAATCCAGATAAAGAAAAAAATTCACATTGTATATATGTGGTTATTAGAGGTCACTACATAGCAGAATGCTATAGGTAATGGGACCTCATGATAAATCTTAAATGACAAAGATTATTTATCCATCAAAGCTGGAGACAAGTACTACTAGGACTCAGAAGCAAGTATGAGCATGAAAATGATAGCAATATTTTAACAAATGTTCACTGAATTGACTTAAACACAAAAATCATTAAACTTACATATATGGAACACATTTGCTTCAAAGGATGTGTGTCAACTAGAATGGAAACTCTGATACTATTTAATCTACAGAGTAAAATAAATTCTACAAAAGAGAGTCTCTGGCCAATCGTATCTTGGGAACCTGTACCTGGCAGCAGATTTAATTTTGCTGAGCCATACGATTGTAGGAGATTTGAAACCTTATGACTTTTACTATAACGTTCTTTCTAACCCCACTGAAATACCAAAAAAGTGCAGAAACTAGCAATGAGACAAATGAAAAATAATTGAAGCCTGATGATAGAAAACGTTCAACACATTGCTAAATGGATGCCAGAACAGCCTCAGAAACGCGCTTCGGTATCTTCAGTACCTTATTTGAATTTCACTTTGTTTTTTCTATTTGCAATCTACTAGCATACAGGACTATAAGCAATATGTTTTGTATGACCTAGATACTTAATGAAATGTGACAGTACCTTGGGTGAATGTTCTCTAGTCACATAACTGTCACTATCACTCTCACAATGGTATATTACACCTTTTATGCTTCATTTGAAGGGATTCAGATTTGTGAGGTAATTGTCTGAGTACAGACAGAAGGATTTATTATTTTTTTTTCCAGCAGAAAAACTAATACGCTCAAATTGGAAAAAGAAAAAGATGAATGGAGCTCTATAACTGCATTTTAATAAAATTCAGCACAATTGGAAAACTTTTAAGAATTAGTAATAGAAATAAAAGGAAATGACCACTTATGGATTATTTATTTCTAAGCCTATAAAACCTGTCAAAAGCAATGTACTAAATGGACTTCTTTTTTAAAAACACAAATCTGACATAAAAAGTATCATTCACCCTAATCTTTCTTCAGCCTAAATAAAAACTGACAACTGTATCTATATATCAGTTTGGTCTGCCACAAATTATGTGATCTTCAGGAAATCTAACCATTATGAATGTAACAAATATGAGTAAATCACATTAGAGAAGATCTTACTGAGTCTTAAAATTCCTTGTGGCTATAACTATTCATGGGTGCTCAATAATGACTAGGATAACATAATTAGGTATGGATTAAAAGCTCTATCATAAAAGAATGGCAATGAGCTTCAGGCTTACATAATAAAACATGAAAACAAAGTTACATTATGCATATTGGGAACTTACTATACAAATTGAATTTGTACAATTATATTACTAGAAGAATACAATGGGCTTGGTACCTACAATCCCAATTATGTAGGATATGCAAGTAAACGTATCAGATCCTACTACATTAAATATCAAATTCTACTAGATTAAAGGTACACTGCAGAAAAATAACAAAAGTCTGACCAAATATGCCTTGTCAAAAGTAAGAAATTTTTTAGTATCTCATATTTAAAGTCCATAGAAATGAGGAAGGAAGAATGTTTGGGCTCTCTTTTAGCAACAGTGTTAATTTATAGAACAAATGATGTATGTATTCCAAATCAGTAGGGACATTTTAGCAATGGTACCTTGCATTTTTGCAGTGCGTTATGTGGTTTAAAATACTTCATCATAAGTTCTTGGTATTGTTATTTTCTTTTTTCTTCCTGACGTTGATTTTGTTTTGTGGCTTTTCATTTCAGGGGATGTACAGTAGCTGTGTAATGGAGACTAACATCCAGATGTGAGGATACAATGTAGTATGCATCTCTACTTCTAGACAAAGATGGACTTACAATGAAACTGCTCACTATATCTTGATAATAGGTTGCTGAATTCTCTGCCATTGTCCATGCCTGCAATGATGGACATATGACTGAGTATGAAGAACTATACTATAGTAATGATATAGAGGAACTAGGGGGTGGGGAGGGAATTGGGGATAAGGGAAATGCCAGGAGCCTATGGAACTGTAAAATAATAATAATAATAATAAATAAATGTAAAAAATAAAAAATAATAAAAAATAAAATACTTCATCAAAACAAAAAATAAATATTTTTATCTTTGACTTA